GGCTCTGTTAGGAAAGTTACCGCGGCCACACGACCCACCTTAAACCCGCCTCCCCGCAGGACCCGGGGGAGGGGGAAGGAAGAGGAGGGCGGGAGGAGACGGGGGTGGGGGCTCGGAGCCGTTCTTTTCGCGGCGCAGAACCAAGTCACAGCAGCATCTCTCGGGCAGTCGCTCCGGGATGCAGGGCTGGGCGCACCAGCGCATCCCCGGCTCTCGCAGGCGCTGGGCTGAGGCCGCGCTCCGCTCCCCTCCCCCTGGATTCTCGCTTTGACGTGCGGTACCAGCTTCAGAGCGCAGAAACTTTCCCGTTTCCTGCGGCGCTGACGCTGATTTTTGGCTTATTCTTTTGGTGATGGTTGGTTTGGCATCTCGTTATTTATTTAACCGTTTGTTGTTTCGGGGAAGGGGGACCTAGTCCTGATGCCTTGGGCTTTGTGTATGTGTTTTGGGGTTTTTTTCTCTGCCCGATTCAATTAAAATACATTTAATAGCCTAGAAGGACAAAGAATCAGACTGCCACCCCGGCATCCCAAGGTTGCCGCCCGAACATGTGGGAATGAGGAAGCAAACTATAGCCGAGGCAGAAACACTTGGTGGCTCGGCAGAGGCAGGAGATGGGGGGAAGCGCGGTTCCCTGCCTGCTGCGGCTGAAACACCGCGATCTCCCGAGCAGAGAGCTCTCAGACTCCGCGGATGTGCTTAGAGGGAGATCATGCAAACTTCTGGACCCATTTCAAGGTGCCGGGTTTGCGAGCAGTGGCAGGCACGCAGCTGGAGGAGCGGGCACACACGGGCAGACACACGCAGCTCGCAGTGCCTAAAGCATCCCCCGAACGGGGAGACGCTGGCTCCAGCTGATACCACGCGAGGTTCGGGGGATGCTAATGGAGAAAAGCGCCGTGGAAAATTTACCTCTTCTCTAGCATCCTCTACCGTCCAGAGCATCTGCCCTTTCACTGTCACATCGCCTGCATCGCTGCTGCTTTCGGGTGGCTCAGTGCCATTGCATGCTCAGAGAGGCATCAGCCAGGGAACGAATCACACACCCCACGGTTGTCATTTTCTTCCTGAAAGATGTACCAGAAGTTACAAATGCATAATGATTAAAATCATTAGACCAAAAGGCTTATGACAGGTGATTTGAACAGCTGCACTAACTTAGCTCTTAGCCAGCAATCTTATGCTTGCACAGGCTCTTCAAGATGAAATGCTCTACTTGTGTTATGTACTATTACTGATTATATTCTAATTAGAATAACAATGTTGGCTGTGATCCTGCTTTTTTAACATCTCACTGTGTATGAAACACAAGAGCAAGTCCCTTTTTGATAATAGACCAAAATGATTAATAGAACTCTTTTTTCCACCGTAGCCACACGATGAATCCCCACATTGTACAGTATTTTCTGGCCATATGAGGCTGCCAAAATCCTTTGTCCTGCACTGTGTGTTTCTTGGTCACATGCCAGGGCATGACTGCAGGTGATGGCAACATTTCAAAAAGGACATAGTTTGGGCCAGGATTGGTACATTGGCTCCATAAGGGACTCCCTGTGACCTCCCAGCCTCCCAAAAAAGTCCTTCACTCCAGCACTGCCTTTGTGCCCCCAGGTGCTCAGCCTTGCCTTGCTGTGCTGGTTTGCAGCATTCCCTAGAGCTTGCAGCAGCGCCCTGAGCTGGGCTGTGGAGGATCCCTGGGTGCTGGAGTGGCTGCTGGAGAGATTCCTCCTTCCCCACCTCTCTCCCAGAACCAGTTCTGCTCCCTCCCTGGCGCCACGAGCTATTTTTCTTCATTATCCATGGCTAAGGCAACCTAAGCAGGTTCTGCAGCAGTACTGGTGCCTGAGGTGAATTCCTATCTTCGTCCACCTGTTTTAAATTATTTTTTACCAAAATCTTAATGATGAATATCAATAATAAATTAGCGATTGTGTTTATTTATTAAATTATTTTCAATATTTAATATAATTCAATAGATCAAATTTGAACTTGATTTATTGAATAAATAAAGATAATTAGGTTTTGTTGTTTGTCTAAGAATATTAAAAACCACCAGTTGCTCTATACTGATGGTGTTGTTTAGAACTCAGTTTTGTCACCAGTTTCCATTTGAAGAACTATTGGCATCCCTGATTTTCCTTTTTAAATGGTAAGAAATGCACAGAGACTAAACCAGACTGCTTAAAATGAATTGGGCAAGCCTGCTGCGACAATTTTCTTTCTTTGTCTTTCAGTGTTCCCTGTAAAACTTTCCAAAGAAGTGGCCTGTCAAACTATGACTGCTCTGGACACCAATGAAACTCAAGATATTACATTCTGCTGCATGACTTTTGACAGATATTTGAGGCAAAGCATTCAGCCCCACTCTACGTGCTCGTATAAAATCCCATCCAGCTCAGTAATTTCCCATGGAAAGTTCTGGCATTCTCTGCACCATGGTTGTCTGCTTGCAGGGGTGTAGATGTCAGTAAATGCCAATGAATGTGGCTATGGATGTTTCTACGTTTGAGGGTGACTACTGGAATACTCATTTCCTCTTGGTGTCTATTTAAATGCAACCCCCTTCTAAAAGATATTCAGTACAAACAGCACTAGATTGCAGCACACTGGTTCTAGTTCAGTGCTTCTGTCTTTAAAATGTGTAGTTTACAAAAAAAGATATAAAAAGACAGTTTGGCTTCTTTCTTATTATTGTTGACTCAATGAGTCTAGACTAGAGTTATAACTCTGTAAACTCCAGCTGAATCTTCAAGCTTAGCCAGATTCTTTCATAAATCAGAATGAGTTGCTGAAATTCTGAAGACAAAATAACTCTCAGTTATGAGTGCACAGCTTCAGTTTGGTGAAATGATATCTGGTTATCCCCAGGAAACCTGAGCACCAACATGAATATGAGAATAGATTTTTTTTTAAAAGGGGGAAAAAAAAAAAAGCAGGAGTGTATTACAAGAGTGACTCTGCACAGAAAACTGCTTAATAATTCTGCTGATAAAGTGTGAGCCAGAGAAGAATTCATTTCCCTCTCCCAGAGCTCAGCTGGGGTGACAGGAGTTTAAAGAAGAGCAGCTCTTTCATAAAGGTGAGCAGGTATGTCCTTCACACAAACAGGAGTTTGAAAAGACTGAAGTCACTGCGAGCTTTGTCGTTGACTTTTGGGGAGGCAGAATTTTACCCTTTGAAAAGATCTGCTGAGTAAAAACAGCCACTTGTACACGTTTTCTCTTCAAAGTCCATTCACCTTTCAAGAGCATTTTGCTGCTTTCATTTGCTTGCTTCTGCTTGTCCAATTCAAAACCAGTTCCTCTCCACGTTTTCATTTTCCATGTGTTCTTTTTGCTTAAAAGGGAAATTTGGCCTCAGAAAACAACAGCAAACTGAATCCTGCTAGTGTTTGTAAAAGCAGAAGTTATCAACACTGGAAAATTATTATAGTGTTAATATTAAAGCCCAAGAAATTAAATATGCATCATTTGTGTCTGAATGAACAATTACTATTGAAAATAATGCTTGAAAAAGAAAAACAATGCTTTTCAGACATAACATGAATTTTAACTTGGTTTTTTTTAGAAAACCAATCAGGGTTTTAGTTTATGCATCATTCTGTTCCCCACAATAATACTCTGTCTGTGCAATCAGTGATGATAAATGGTACATAATTGTAAACTTGATATTGGTTTTCAATATTGAATTCATCATCCTGTCCTCTTAACACATATTAAATACTTTAAAGAATTTATGTATTTGTTTGATTTATCTGTGATTTTTTTCCAATATGTAAAATTTATTAGTTTTCTAGTTTTTGAGGAACTAAGAGTAGACAACATCATTAATAACACTGAATAATAGTGTTGGCCTCATTTATGCCTGACTCCCTTCTACCAATATAAAGTGTCCAAATCAAATACAAACATATCAGTTGTAGGCAGTGTAGAAAATACAGTCTGAACTAGAGCCAGTCCTGCACAGGTTTTGTTTGACTTTCCCAATCCATCCCTGATCTCTCCAAATAAGGACAGAAAGAATAAATAATTAATTTAACTTTTCCCACATGATGGACCCATCACAAATATGAAGATTCACTCAAATTGTCCCAGTGCTCTTCAAGAACAAGTAATGAAAATATGATCAGAAAACATTAATCCTGCATTACAGTGGCAAAATATACAGGAATTGTTCATCTAATTCAAACAGACACTAAGCATTTAGGGCCTGGTTCAATCATGTCAATTGTTTTTTTCATTAACAGAGCTTTTAGGTCTGCTCCCCAGTCCTAATAAAAAGGACACTCAAAATGAGTTAAGAACTGGCCAGTGACCAAGTGGTTTGTGTAAATCTTGACCTACAGGAAGTCAAATTCCACTCTTAATCCTGTGTGTATGACCATCATTCTTAGTGCCTGCTATTTCTCTTAATCATGGTTTCTGCAACTGCTCCAGGGCATGACATTATTTTCTGCTTAGAATGATGTAAATTTAAAAATAAACAAAGGATTTGGTAAGGCTGAAGCAAATAATTATGCAATGATGCAAATGAAGACGTAGCCTTCATTCAGCTGAACTGTAGCTGGTTACTTCAGGGAGGAATTTGATCCACTAACAAAAAAAACCCCAGAGAAATTCAGTTGTACACACCTATTACTCCTTTTATTATAAAGGAAACTGGCTAAGAAACCAGCCTTCCACAGGGATGAGTGGAACTCTGTGCTGCAGGATGGCTGTGACAGCTTTGTTGTATGAACATATCAGCTCTTTGGATGGATCAGAATGGCCTGAGCAGGTAAAAGAACTCCATGGAATTCACAGTTGGCTCCCAGGAGCTTCAGAGTGTAATTCTGTATGAAAGAGGAACCCAAGTACACCCTGGCATCCAGAATGACATTCTGCCTTTATCTGGAACACATGACCCTGGTTAAGTATTGGGGAATGATATCAAAATAGATTGACAATCACTCTGCAACACATAAATTCTTATTAATGTTAATGAGAGTGATGCGTACGAACTGAGAAGCCAAGAGGCCCCTCACACTGAGAAAATAGCAAAAGCAGCATATATAATGCATAATTAACAGCAATGTCATATAGGTCAGACTGAAAGTGTTGGCTTTTTAGTATAAATTCCTGTGTGGATAACTGCAAGATGAGATTTTTTTTGCTTTTATCCAGAAATTTCACACTGCAACTGAAGCAAAGAAACCAATTGCTTCTAAGCACACCTGCACCTTCTGGTTCTGAAGGTGAAAGGACAATTTACCTGTCAGGCTCCTGTGTGTCTACAGGACATCTCTCCTAGTACTGCCTGAGGGGAAATCAAAGCTATGGGAGAAAACCTGACCAATTCCCAACTTTCCAACACCAAACAGGCATTTACAGGTTGAACATTACCTGCTGTATTTGTGGTTGAGTCAATTATTTGAATATTCCCCATCTCCTGAGTTTGTATCTCTTTGAATTTCTCTTTCACCTCCACCTAAGCCCAGAGGAACAGCCATGAGCAAGCACAGACCAAAAAAAGGGGCATAGACCCAGGAGCTAAAGAAGAATCCTGATTCTCTCCATCTGCCTGCATCAATGCAATGAGGTTCCCCAAAGTTCTGCTCTGTCACAAAGAAACCCAAACCTTAGGAAATTCCTGTTTGGAGAAAGCTGACCAAACTTCCAATTGATAGCAAACCAGAAATAGAGTTAAAATAAGGACTGGAGCAGACCAAACTTGGGGGTTGGTATTCTGAAAGAAGTCCATAGGACACATTCATTCAGATCTTATTTACAAATACTTCTAAATATGCTGGGGCAAATTTATGATCAAGCTTAGCTGTTTTCTTCAAACAGCTGTCTCCAGATAGAATTTTAAGGAGAGAACTTAAATCTGCAGGAAATGTAGTGTTACAGCAACTGGCATTATTTGGACACATTGTGGAACGATGCTGCTCAGCTATGCTTTTATCAAAAGAAATTTTGAGTTCACTGCTCTTGTACTCAGTGAGGAATGGGTTTGATTACAGAAAGAAGAGAGAAGCTGAAAGAAGCTGTGAATTTATCTTTAGGATCGATTTGTGCAGGAATTTTTAACCTGAAGTTTTAGGAACTAGTTGAACACCAGCACTGAATATAAACATTCTCTGCTCTGAGTCCTTTCTCAGCAAAACCAGAGTCCTCATTCCCAGTCCAAAACTCTGCCACTTGTGTATCTCAGTGCTGTGGTCTCCTCCCTTCAGCTGCAAAGGGCTCAGCATGAGACTTTTGGAAAGAGGATCATTTGAATTTTTATCTGCTCTGGAAATTTTGTTACTGCTTTTATTCATCACTGCAGAGATGAGCAGCCTGCAAAGCCAGTCCACCTGCACAATACCTTCTCCTGTTGCAGTGAGATCTGAAGATGCACCTTAGACTGATGTAATGATCCTTGGACTGGACCACACATTTTATGCCTCACTTTCCTCCCTGCAAAAGTGGAAACAGCATTCTGTATGCTGGATAATATTGACTTCTGCCCAGAAACTGTTTGTCTTGTGTATGCAACAGAGATGAAAATTAAAATGGACATTTTGAAATTTTGGAATTTCAAGGAATTATGCTCATTGACATCTATGTGTAAAAAAGAAATCAAGCAAATGCTAGCAGAAATTCCCAAAAGTTTTTTTTCAAAGAAAATCTAAGAAATCTTGGCTGCACATATTTCTTTTCATTTTCCTCCAGCTCCATAGTCATTCACAGAATTCTAAGTCAGGATCTAGCAGGAGTTGTACTCAAAATGACAGCCTGCCGTGATGCATTTATTTCTCTGGTTTGCCACTTTACAAGGGAAAAAAACACATTTCCAAGATATTTTTGGTAACGTATGACTAAGTAGCAAAATTAAAACTAGGAAATTAATAACTACATGGCATTTCAATCCCATCAACTCTAATCAACATAAATCCATTCTAATTAAAACCTGCAAATCCTGAGGATACCGAAGAGATAGCCCTCTGTTATAGGGAGATGGCAGCAACAGGTACATTCCATACAAATGGAAAAGATGCAAATCTCTGAAAGAGGCAAAGATGAAGCTTGTACTAGAAGTCTTATTTTTAGAATACCACTAGACCCTAATAATCTCAAACTGGTGAAATAAAAAAATCTCATAAATTTTGCCCTTTAAAATTTGAAAAGCACGTTTACAATCTAAATAAGGAGTGCACAGCTTCCAGGCTGAAAATGGCCACTAAGTTTATCACAATCATTCCTATAGTTTTAGAATATGATTAGCCCCTTGTAATCCCTAATTGGCAAAAACAAACATACATTTTGTCCTTTAAAATTTAAAAAGCACTTTCACAAACCAAACAGAGGATCTGAAGGAAGTGTACAACTTCACAGCCTGCAAAAGGTTACCAAGTTTATCACAATCATCAAACCAGAAATAGGGCAGAGATGCAAAGCGTGTTCTGATCAGAATGATGAATAACACATGCCAGTTTAAAGAGAATAATAGAAATTATGTAATTGTACCAGAGCCTTTGTTTCAAAGTCAAAACATCTCAACTCTTGAGTCTGTCTTTAGGACTTGATCAAAAGCCCATAAACATTAACAAGATTCTTTGCACTAACTCCCTTGAGCCTTGCACATGTCCTTTATACAGAAGCTTCGTGCATCTTAAATCAGTTCAGGAAGCTCCTCTTCCCTCCTGCAATCCATTCAACCTTGCACTTACAATCGGCATCAGCTTTTAAATACATAACTACAGATGCCAAACCTACCTGATTCTGGTAACTGTTCATATTGTACCAAGATCAATAGTTCCCCTCTCCTCCTACTGCACTGACAGGGGAAAAAGGGATCCCAGGTGAGCTTGGGTGTGTGTTATTTGTGCACATCCAGAGCAACTACTACTGACACTTAGGGGTTTAAGGGAAGAACCCATCTTCACCCAGCTCTAAATCAGCTCTTTTAAAGAAGGCCTCTTTTGTCTACTGGTAGTTTTTATCCCCAACCAGCAGAGATTAAACAAATGCATGTGTTTGGCAGGCAGTGGCTGTCACCCTGCCAATTAGCTCAGCAGGAAGCAAACAACCTGCTGACCTTCCTGGGCCAGCATCTCTCCAAGGCAAGCAAAAGGAGCTTTGCTCAGTAGCTCAGACTGTTGTTATCATCATATTCCATCACAAACTCACCCTACCACTCCCTGGAGTCACAGCAACAGTCCAGAGCCAGGGGAGTGTAGAGCTGGAGGGAACCAAAGCCCTCATTATGCCTGGTGGTTTCCAAACTTTATTTGTGAAATCGTAACAAGCTTTGTCTTTATTGTGTTTGCAACAGCCACTGACACTGAGAGGGTCTGGGGGTCTGTGCAGGAGTCCTGAGGGCTGACAAGGGTTTGCTAGACCAGAAAGCCTGGTCAGTGATTTTACTACTGTGGCAAGGAACGAGTTACACCTGACTACTCTTAACACGGTTATTTCATATGTTCTCACAAATTGCCACACAGTCTCTTTACGCAAACTGTGCCAGAATTTAATACACTGATGTTGTTCAAGAATATTTAATGCTAGCTGTAGTTTCTTTCTCAAAACTGCAAGTTATAGTTTGGTTGGAATTTTTTTTGCAATGAAAAAATAGAACATCACATATATAAAGGCCTAGAGAGCATTATATTTAGAAAAGCAAGCATACAAAATCTATCATTTTTATCCATCCTAGCCTGTTGTGATGTCCAGTGGTGATAGTTTAGTAAAATATTTACTTCTTCTGTGTTTTCAGCAATAGCTGGCCTTTAATACGGCACGGTCTGGAATCAGGATCCAGAGCTGCATGAGGACTTTGGTGCATAATGAGGAAGGCAGCTTTGCTAAGGTCCCTCAGCTCTGAGCACACACCCTCTTCAGGGGTAACTTCCATCTAAATCTCCCCTGCATGTCATTCCATTGGATCAAATCAACAGAAGTTAAAAAGTAGGCTGAGATAAAAATGTGTTGGGACACAGAAAGATGCTTTAATAGATACAAAGCTACAGGCTCTTTTAGAAAGGATTTTTTCCACTTTGTATTCCTATTGTCTGAAATCAGGTCTGAATAGAAGAAGACGACTTGATAAAATATAGGCAAAAAATATCATATAAGGAAATAATGGAAATGCTGTTATGGATTTTTGTGAGTATAAATAGTTTCGGAAATGAAACTGTCAAGCCCCACATCTGAAATGCTGTAGAAATAAAGTCACTTTAATGGTCAGCCTGCTGCAACCACATAAACATTCCCTAGTTCCTTTCACAGCCCAGCATCTTGTAATTTTTTTTTTTTTTAATCTGACATATGGGGAGACATTAGTTGGAGACTGAAGGAGACAGAATCTAAAAGAGAAGCAGAAATGGATCAAGAGAAGATAAGGAACAGAAATCATCAACAGGAGATATTAAATTCCAAAAATGAAACTTGAAGGGATGGGACATTCTAGGAGGAAAAAAAATTTAAAAAATAAAAAAAAAGGGGAAGGGTAGTGAGATAAGCTGTAAAATAACATGGTGAACTCAATTTTAAGCAAAAATATTAGACAGAAATAATCTGAGACTGCCCCTCCTTTTCTTCCATGCTTCTGAAGGTATGGGCTGCCATATCTGTGAGAGCATTCCTGACTGTAAATCCAGTTCTGTCCCACAGCTGGGGCTGCTCTTTGGCTTTCCTCTTGCACCAGCAGAGAACCTTTCCCTTACCTGCAGCTGCACCAGCTCATCCAACATGGGGGACACCTGCTCACACTGGTGCTGTGCATGCCCTCCACACACTGCATTCTGCAATGTGCAACTGGGGAAAGAGTAAAAAAATATCTAAAATTAGCATTGATGTAGAAAAATCAGTCAGTCTCTCACTAAGTTAAATGAGCATTTTGATATTTGATTGGCATTCTAACATCCTTTATGTCCCCAGAAAGTTCCACGCCTTATCAGCTGCCACAAAGTACTTGTTCAAGGTTTAATTTCTTCCTCTGGAAATATTTCTTGTGTATTGTTTTTCTTAAATTTTATTACCCATTAGACTATTTCCTCATTATAGTGGCAGCTCGGTCTCTTTCAGAAAGTTACAAAACATATAAAACTTGTCTAATATCTTCATAAAGCAGAATTAAATCTCCTATTTACATTCAAGGGTGATGAACCAAGAGAATGGATCTTTGGCTCAAACCTTGGCTGAGCCACTGAGTTGCCATGTGACCCCAGGCAAAAAATCTGATCTTCTTTAATTGAAGCAGTTATAAATTTGGCTAAGAAGCAAGACCTTTTTGAAAGGCATCAGCCTTTGACCTCAGCTTGTGGGAGTAAATGCACCTCCAAAGTCTGAGGTTGAATAATGCAACATTTCTTTTCAGTTATCTATCCCTAGAAACTCTGTGGTTGCTCACATCACTTTGTATTTTTCAGCCTAATAAGGAACTACACTGTTTAGTAGTGAGTACTACTTGAGTAGTAACAAGCAGCACTTTGGTGTTTCTATCAAGTGTTTGGGACCTTGAAGACAGTTCTTGACCACCTGACTTACTTCAATCAGACTTGTGGGTGAAAGCAGTGCAGAGGAAGGAGCTTTATATGCAGATCCTGCTGCCAGGAAAGCAAGTGAAGAATAAAGGTGTAAATTAGCTTGCAGGAGCTCAGCCTAAGTAGAAAATAAACATTAGTTACTGTTTTTTGTTCCCACAGTTGATGATCAGATCCTTCCCATCACTAGGACACAGAGAGGGATAACTGGAGTCCCTGAGGCCAGCATGAGCCAGGCCATTGGATGTCTCAGCTCTTAGCAAGGGTCAGAGAGCAGAGTTTATTTGACTCCACACCAAACTCAGTACTCAGCATCACAAGAAATTCATTTTTACCTCATTTGTAAAAGCAGCAGGCATGTGGTGAACACACTCTCACCTTGCCTCTCTCTAATGAACCACTTTAACCATATCAAGAAGGAATTTTGCATAATGACTGCAATATGAAGTCACCATCCAGAAGCAGTGATGGAAGCCTTGAGGACAATGACAAAGGCACCCATTAAGAAGTCGTTCAGCAGCTGAGTGTCCCAGTAGAGCTGGGCACTGAAATCCATTTCCCTTGGATATTCATTTGAATTTTTAAATGAGTTTTTTTGACTGTTCACATCTCTCTTGTGCTCACTTTCCATGAATAGCAAATGAGCTTTAATAAGGGGAATAATCATGAAAAACACATTTGAAGCTTGAACATTTGCCAAATGAAAACCTCCAATTGCACAATAAGTGGTTAGCAGTACATATGTCATTTTATGACTTTTACATTCAATTAAAAATATTCGCTGTTGGTCAGTTATCACACAGGGACATCAAGGAAACCCAAATAATATCACTACATACAGAACTGGGCAGCACAGGTTAAAGTATTATTATGTATAATTAGGTATTCCTGAATTACTTGCTGGCTGAGACTTAGTTCTTGACAATAATTATGAAAAAAATAATGCATCTTGAATTCTTGTATTCTTTCCACTGCATTTTTTTCTTAAAAGAGCAACCTGTTATTTTCCCAGCCCTGCCAGGCAATATGATTTGCCAGAGGATAGAGCAGTTATGGGCATATAATCTTTCCTCAAGGGCTTTTAGTAAGAAGAATTTAAGGCACCTAAGACGCACAGCTGCAGCCCAGAAATGCAATGTGATACATTCTCCTTTAGTTTCCCTTTATACATCATTGAGCTCTCAAGGAAAACCTCTTATATCTCATTTGTAGAGCAAATCACAACTGCAGAGCTCCCCATGAGTCAACCCCATTTAATTTCTGATGACACGAGCCTAAGAGGGAATTAATCAGCTTCACCTAGAAACTTCTTGTTATTTTGAAAGCAGGGGGGTAAAAAGTCACCCTTGCTATTCTGTTTTCTATTTACTGGCGTATATAAATAAATAAACCTTAGAGCATGATATTGTGCAGCACTGACCCCAGACTTGAGCGAGATGGACCATAGGGAGCACTCCCAATTTGGAAGTGGGTGGAAAATCTGACCTGTTGGGTCTTTCCATCTCTGACCACCATTATCCTCTGAACCCTGCAGGAGCTGCTCTGGAAGCCGAGACAATCCTGAGCATCATTTCAGAGCAAGGGCTCCCACCAAATCAAATGCGTTTTGATGACAAAAAGATTGATATGGTGGCCTTCTCCTTTGATCCAAATTGTTTTCATAATTTCTAGCATAACAAATAAAAGCATATTTTATGAAAGAAGAAATTCTGGACTACGCTAAGTTATTATCAGCTGCAAACAACCTAAAGCTCCCCGATCAGACAAAGTATAATATTCTAATTATCTCAGCATAAAGGCTTTTTTTCCTTTAAATTATATTTAGGATCTCTCATCAGTAAATACAGTGGGAAACCCTGGGATAAACTAAGCCATAGTACAGAAAACAAGTGAAACAAAATAGTACACAGCTTTGGATTCCTGTGTTGTAAACTTTTGAACTGCATCCATGGAAGAAAAGCATGAGGGAAAGAAGATCAAATGTGTGCTATAGTAAATATCAGGTATTGTGATAAATTGCTTTTATGCATCCAATAATTGTAAACATCGTGTAGTTTCATATTCCTGACATGCCTGAAGAGATCTGCAAGCCTTTTTTTATTATTATTATAGAGCAGCATCGCTTTCTAGTTTATTTTGTGGAGAAAATTGTCTCTTTCTGTTATAAACAACTCCAAGCAGTTTGTTCACGGAAGCTGAAAGGTGGAATTTTAGCCCATTAGACACAGGCAGGGAAGCGAAAGTTCGGATTTCAACCCAAAATCGATTACAGAGCGTCCCCCAGCGGGGGTGTCCGATACTGCAAACACAAAGGACTACGGTTAGTTTGGACCAACTGAAATCCACGGAGAAAAATAGGAAGCACTGAAACGCACAAATACAAAATCATTTTCTTTTCGCTAAAATAAGAACATTAGTATTCTCTTCGTAACGCTGTATAAATTATTTTAAAGGATAAATGAGATAATCATCAGTCAAAGTGCAATCCTAAGCAAAATAACAGTCTAATTAACATGAGATCTGACAAAAAAATAATTAAAGGAGGGTGACATAATTAATGCCAGTGGACACGGGATTAAATAAAACAGACACCGTTAAAATCATCTGATATCTTTCTTTTTTATGAATGCAAGGAATGGCATATTAATCCTGAGACCTTTCTAGATGTGGGTGGAATTTTTACAATACTTGGCTTTTACTGAGCCAGCAATCCAGAAGGAATCTCCAAGAGAAGAGAACATTTATCCAGTTTAGGATGAGTTAGGAGGAGATGCTGAATTGCCAATTGCTCCACAATTACTTTAAGAATGGGAGAACCAACTTCAAAAATATGCTAAAAGATAATCAAATCTTGCATCCTCTACCTCAGTGACAGAGTACTTGGAGGAAAAAAAAAAAAAAAGATAAAAAGGCCTTTTTCAAATAGAAATATACAATTTCTATTGATTCCAAGACTCTGTGGATCTCAGATTTATCTTCTGCCTCTTGTTTGTGGCATTTGTCAGATGAGTCAGGCTTCAGGCTTGGGAAACTTGAACCAATTGCTGGTATTCTCCAGTGATCTGTGATCAGTGATTTTCCCAAACACTTCTGTCAAAAGCTAACACTGAAATTCTGTCCTGCATCTCCTGACAGGCTTCTCCAGGCAGGGAGAGCTCGTGAGAAGCTCCCATTTCCCATCTCAGGCAGGCACAAACATGAGATTGAATTTAAAAGGCTTCTATTGCCCATGTAAAATAAAAGCTTCTCTGGCACTTGCTAGAGTGAATAACACGGGAGCATTGCACAAAGTGAGCATAAAAACTCCATAAAAACAATAATTGTACTGATGTCTTTGTATTCTACCACAGTTTTTTCCTCTTAAGTACTTTATGGAGTGAAGGTGTATGAAGCAAAGTATGTCCCATAGTTCTGCAGGCAGACTGCACTCCATCTTTATTCTTCAACATTTGGTAAGATCTTCTAATACTGATACACCAACATTTTTGTAACTTTTATTTTAAAACAATTAAACATGCACATGTGATCCCGTTAGTTTTGGCTGTCCCTGCACAAACTTCTTGCCCTGTGTAAAGAAAATTACCAGATCAGCATGAAAAGTTGATTTCTGATCTCACAGGGACAAACTCAGCTGTCAGATAAAGTGTCAAGAGCTCTCTTTGGCTCTAGTGACTCCAGCTTGGCTTTTTGCAATCAGCTGAGGTTTCTTCCAAGAGAGGAAGGAAGTGGGGAAACTCAAGAATGATAAAACTGCTCAGACTGTTAGAAATACACGTGCAGTTACTCAACAGTATCAGCAGGGGATGAACTTGGCCCAAAGGTCTTCCATTTTCCTCTGTGAAACAGTGCACAAATGAGAGCAGTGATCTCAGCTACTTTTATTTAATTAACCTTCATTTTATTACAGTCATTGAATGTCACTGAGTAAGCACACGGGTCTGTGTTCTTCACTGTGTCAGCAATCAGCATCTGCTACATTTCAAACTCAATTAAATGTCTTTTTTTCCCCAAATGTTGTGTTTTTCTTACCCTTTCTATCAGCAAGGGTTACTTCATCTTTGTTCCCGCTGAACAAGAGCTCCATCATTTTGCTCCCCATTTCCCTTTTCCTCTCACATCCTGCTTACATAATACATCTGAAATCATCCTGACTCCCAAACCCAAGTCTACACTTTGGTCGTCTCTCACTAAGTTATAACACCTCCTCCTCCTCAGATGTTTGAGAACTTGGCTTCTGAAAATCAGCTTCTTACAGATGGTGCTTCCATTTACTGGCACAAATTGGTTACTTAGAAGTATTAGTCATTGGAGATACACATTTTATAAAACATGTGAAAAATAAGAAGTAGAATAAACAGGAACATACAGTGACATACTGCCTTGGCTTTTTCCCAGTGTTTTTTTCCCTCCTAAGGACAAACACTACACAGCTCTCACCATATATTTATGTTCAAGTGAAGTTATGGTGTAGGCAATCATTATTTGAGAAAGTATGAATGCTTTTCTAAGAGTTAAAACAACCATCCCCAAAATGCCACACTTGCAGCATTACACAGAGCAGTGGCTCAGACCCAGAGACACTGCTTTGGACTTCTGACCTTCCACTGCTTCTCTGTTTCATCTTGGACTAGACTTCATCTGTCAGTGCCTTTATCTTCCCCTCTGTAAATGCGAAGGATAATATCGGTGATTACTATAAAATCAGGTGTCATTAGGGCTTGCCTGCTCTCCTCACGCACCCTTGCCCTGATGCCCACCTCCCGGAGTGCTCTGGCATGTGATCACATAATCAGGGGCGAGAAATGGACCTGGAATTTCTCCTGGAAGATGCCGTGAAAGACCATGATGCTTCATAACAACTGCACGCCTCACTTTAATCCACCCTCTGTGGTCGCCCAGCCTGGGCTCCCTCAGGGCTTGCACTTGTCGGGCTCCCCCTCAGTCCGCTCCGGCCCGCCCCTCAGGACCCGCCTGGTTCCTTCAGCCGCCCCGGTTCCCTCAGCTCCAGCTCCGGTTCCCTCAGCTCGTTCCCGCTGTCCCTCACCTCCAGTTCTAGCTCCCTCAGCTCGTTCCCGCTGTCCCTCAGCCCCAGCTCCGGTTCCCTCAGCTCGCTCCCGCTGTCCCTCAGCTCGTTCCGGGCTGCCCCTCAGCTCCAGTTCCAGCGCCGCCAGCTCAGCCGCCCGCCCTCAGCTGCCCCGGTTC